ATGTAGGACATAATAAAATTTATTTCACAACACAACAACCTCCCTAACCTGGCACAATGGTGGAATTTATCGATGAACTGGAAACGGAAAGTTCGAGAGGGTTTCACGAATTACGAAAAAATAAGGAATAACCATACTGACTGACCATTAGAGATTTGTATGATTAGATACACAATACCCGTATTTTATGTGAGAACTTATGGTCGATAATAAAACGATTATACATTAATTGTTACATATTTATGACATATTGATTGCAGTACAACTCTGTAAAGGGAAGATAAGTAACTCGCATTTTCCTTTTTCCTTGAATTTATGCATTCAATCATACATATTTGAATTTATATTTGAATATAATTAGTTTCCATGATGGCTTCCTCCTTCATGGTGACCACCCCCGTGATGATTTACCCCATGATTACACTTTGTTTCCGTTGTTGGAAAAGTAACGCAAACTAAAGTAGGGTAAAATCAGTAAAATAAACCCGGCGATTGTTAAATTTAAGAAAATTAAGTAAAAGCGTCTGTATTGTCCAAGTTTTTAATTAATGAAAACACAGAAGTTGAATCAAAACGACAATCAAATCTTAATCATTAAAGAAATTACGACCGTATCCACTATTTGCAATTCGAGTCTTTCTTTTTTTGGAGAAAATGAGATTCGTGTTACGTTACATAGGGGGGAGGGTGGGGGGTAGTTGGTAGTTGACAACTACTAGTTGTCTTGCGCTACACTGGTGGGGGAGGGAGGGTTTGAAAAAATTCGATTTTACGAAAAAAGTCGAGGTAATATAAACTTTGCATTTTGTCAACTCCCCGATTAAACGATAGTTTTCATATTCTTAGCTGCTTGAATAAGTTATGAATTGTCGTAAATTCTTTCTGATTAATAGTCAATATTCTGATAGGTAGAAAATGACAATTTACATACATATTCACAGGGCAAACAGTTTGGCTGTTATTCGATACGAGTAAACTAAAATATGCATGAAATTACTTCTCAAACTTACAGCATATCCTGGCATGCGTGACACTTAAAAATAGTGTTACACTTTTGAGAAGTTAATGCGGTCTGAATTCTTGATTTATTTAACTATACTAAATCCATACCTATTCACGATCATTCATGTGACTGATTATGATAGAGAATGAGAGTGAATGAAAATGAATTTCCTATGAAATTAATGAATGAAAATGAGTGGTTCAGTCACTTCAGATGAGTGACTATGAATGAAAGGATTTCTCGCTCCTTTAATTTGTCATCCTATACGAAGTAAGAAATGAAGTCAGATGAAGTGAATTCTAATTAGTTTAAAAGAAAATGATTGAGTGTGAATTAAAATCTTGTGTCAGAAATCGGAATGACTGAAGTTTGAATGAAAAAAGTTTTTTGAACAGGTATAACTAAATCCAGACTAACGTATATTTGACAAAGAGTAAAGTTTACTCTGGATTTTCTAGAGTTTATTTATTCCAAAATTCAGAGTGCACTTACGTTTCCAAAGGGTAACAATCTTTTTAAGAGTGTATCATACCATATCGCAAACTTGATGTCATATTTAATTCAACAGTTCACATATAATTTTTTACGATAACCGAAATTAGAAAGAATGGATTAATGCATCGCTCAGTGTTCTTGACGACTTGTTTCGAATATCTTTATTTTGCAACGACTTTTTCAAATTTCCGCCATGAAATGGAAAACAATATTGCACTCTTGTGCAAAAACATTGGCAGATTGGTACAGATTGATCTCCTCGATTTTGAAAACACTCACTCCTTTCAATGCTTTAAGACGGATCGCAACTTTCTCCGAGTTCTTATACCCGCAGATTATTACGTGGGATAGGGAAACAAGGGCACCAATCCCGAATTCGGGGATTAAGCTGATTCCATGGTTCCTCATTTCTGGCGTGGCCATTTTAGCAGCCTTGCCCACTTTTTGGATCGGAATTCGCGAAATAATCAGCAACAAAAAAGACCCCGAGATTTCGGTGGCACACAGTTTAATAATAATTTTTCAATTCTGCGGTGAGTTTGTCGTAATCGGGATGATTTTTACGCTGCTATGCAAAACGCACGAGGTCTGCTATATTTTTGGAAGTTTATTGAAGTTGAGCAACCTTGGTGAGAGGGAGGGTAAGAAAAATATGAAAATTTGCATGCTTGGAGGATGCACTCTTAAAAATAATGTTACCGTTTTGAAATAAATTTAAATGGTCTATAAATTTTGGATTATCCAAATCCAAAATGATTTTGTACATTTAGTTGAAGAAACACAATTTCATTCACTGTCTAAAGGGTGTTGACTTAATTCGTCCCAATTTTTCCTAAATATTAGAAAACTTGTGAGTTAAAACTGGAGAAAATTTGGGGTCTTCTTGTGAAAGTTATGCCGCTCATGATTAATATTAATGTTCTTTCCACACATGGTAAAATTTCAAAGGAAAATGATAACTTGTTTGAAGGTTATGAATAATTGTGCCCAAAACGCCTTAATCGGAACGAATTAAATCAACACCCTTCAAAATTACGAAATCATTTTCATTCAAAGGCGAAGTAGGAAATTCATACTGATTCACTGTCATAATCAGTCTAATCATTAGACTCTAATGAACGAAAGTGAACAGGTATGTGTGTATGATTAAGGGCACGTTTACTTCTGAAAGGGTAACATAATTTTTAGAGTGTATTTACATTTAGGAGTAGAAGGTCACTACTTGTCGGGCCCCGATTTCGATCTCCTTTGGATATGTTGTAGTACTACATGAGTGTAGAAAAAGTGAAGGAGCGTTAGACTCCATGAGCCCATCTACGCCCGCCACACCCCCTCAAAGGCGCCCAAACCCCCAGAGTTGTCGCACTAAAATCATCGCCAAAAATCGAGTTTTGGTCAGATTTTCTAGAAATTTACATTCTTGTGATCCCAGATAGTTGCTCTATCATATCCAATAGCAAACTCAACTTTTTTGAAATTTCGAATTTTTTCAATACATACGCTTGGTCAGAAAATCTTCGAAAATATTGAAAATTTCAAAAAAGTTGAGTTTGCTATTGGATATGATAGAGCAACTATCTGGGATCACAAAAATGTAAATTTTTTGAAAATCTGACCAAAACTCGATTTTTGGGGATGAATTTAGTGCGGCAACTCTGGGGGTTTGGGCGCCTTTGAGGGGGTGTGGCGGGCGTAGATGGGCTCATGGAGTCTAACCCTCCTTCACTTTTTCTACACTCATGTAGTACTACAACATATCCAAAGGAGATCGAAATCGGGGCCCGACAAGTAGTGACCTTCTACTCCTTAGAGTAACAATAATGAAAACCGGAATTACTTCACACAAAGAAAAATTTGATTTTTATAAGATTCTCAGCGTTTGTAGAGCTGATTTTTACGAGTTCAACGGCACCAATAATTTGGAATTACTCCGCCCCCTCGCTGAGTGGGAGGAGCCCAAAGTTGGAAAAATTCGCTTCGTCTGCGATTTTTAGCGCAAAGGCGGATCAATATTTTTGAAAACGGTTTTCACCAAAAGTTTCCTAATTTTGTTCCCTACAACCGTCTTTGACCGGTTGTACACAGCGGTAGATTGGGAGCTAACACAGCAATAGATAGGCAAGAACTCAAAAATATTCTTCTGTGTCTGGAACATCAGGGAGTGGTCATACACCAGACGAAGTATATATATTCCAGATCCTCCCGCCGAGATCTTTCCAATGATGCTGCATTTATGGGGTAATGTGAGATTTGACCTATTTTACCTATAAGGTCCAAATCATAAAAGTTGTTTAAAGAATTTCAGAAAACGGTCAAAAACGGTTGTAGGGAACAAAATTAGGAAACTTTTGGTGAAAACCGTTTTCAAAAATATTGACCCGCCTTTGCGCTAAAAATCGCAGACGGAGCGAATTTTTCCAACTTTGGGCTCCTCCCACTCAGCGAGGGGGCGGAGTAATTCCAAATTATTGGTGCTGTTGAACTCGTAAAAATCGGCTCTACAAACGCTGAGAATCTTATAAAAATCAAATTTTTCTTTGTGTGAAGTGATTCCGGTTTTCATTATTGTTACTCTTTACAAAGATTTATATATATGTAACTAACATTAGGAAATTCGGAAAAAACCTCCACCCTTGGCCTATTTATGCACGGACTCATCCTCTGTTTCGCTTCCTGTCCCCCGGTCGCGGGACTGATGCCACTTATCGTCCATAACATCGATCCGACCTACTTCTGGTTCAGAAATGTAACCTGGTTAAGCCCCAATTTGAAAATAGTGGTCCGAATGGTGATCATATTTCCTTTAGCTCTGCACATTTCCAATCTCGTCTTTTGTGTCTCAGTCATTGGTTCGAATGGGATCTTAATCTATTTGAAGTGTCTCACGGAGATGACTAATATGGACTACAGAATTACCAAATTTTGCAATGTCTCTATTGTGAAATTTCGCAAAAGTTTCGCAATGTACAAACAAATCTACATTATCACAACGGTGTCGAACGACGTGCTCTATTTCATCCTACCGATCGGACTATTTTCCTCCTTGTTACTGGGCATCGTCTTTCTCTACGTGGTGATCGTCCTCACGGGAAAAATATCGCTGGCCGTGACCTTCATCGCGGGGTCAATTAGTGCCGCAATAATTGGCATGGTTCATTTGGTTTTGCCGCTAATGGCGGAAATCACAGAGGCGTCAGGAGATTTTATGAGGGGATGGGGGATAACACGAGGGCTGAGTGGGGGTGACCGGAAAGGATTGAAGGCTTGTAGACTACTGCGCATTTGGGTGGGGCCGTTTCAGTATGTGAGTAAAAGTTCTAGGATGGATTTTATATCGACCCTGCTGTACTACACGGTTTCGCTGATTATTTCCGTGAAACCGTAAAGTTTACGGTTTACGGCGTAAACCTTGTTAGAGATATGGTACGTACAAATTGAAATGCAGACATACCGGTTCAAAAAAACGTGTTTCATTCAAAGTTCAGTCATCCCAATTTGTAACTGAGGATTTGCATCCACATTCAGTCATTTTCTTTCAAACTCATTTCATTTCACATCATCTGAATTCATTTCATAGTTCGCCCCAGGTATTAAGCATATAGTGAAAACAGAGACGGGTGAGAAATCCCACACTCTTAGCAACTTGGTAAAGAATTCTTAATAAGCGTCTTTACCGAGCTCTTGGTAATTACGCATCCTACAAAAATTATACGGGGTTATTACCGTAACAATACCAAACGGGTAACTGGCCTTCCACCGCAATGTTCTAACTTATCTTTATAATTTTGGTAATAAACTACTACGAGCCGGTAATTATATCCTACAAATTTAGATAACACTCTTTACCATAATTTTCATTAAGTGTAGTACAAATGTTTCCCGTTGTGGTGCTGATGAGATCTACATTTTGGTGTAGTTTATTACCCTGGAGGTAAGAATTTTAATACATTTGGTGTTAATTGTGAGACGCTAAACATTGAGACAGTGGCGCATTTGTTAGTTTTAGTTTTCGCTTAGCTCAACTCAAGTCAACATGACGAAATTAATCCAGTGCTGCCCGTGAAAAAAAAACGATAAAAACTTCTGGAAATTCTGGAAATATAGAATTTTTGGTAACAGGTAAGTATCAAATTATCATATGCAGGCGCCTTATCAAGATGGCGATCGAAAACCATCATAATAGGAAATCTTTAATAATAATTTTATGCGTTTATTTTTTCAGTGAAACAAAAATTTAAGTTGGGAATCGGAGCAGATTTGAGTTTCATGTAAATATTTATACATGTGTATTTCTGTAACTCAATAGTTTGCATTATACTTAAATTTTATAATTATGTATGTTTCAAAACTATTTTACAATAAATATAATTGATTGAAAGATTAAAGAACAGCAAAAAATCTATTCTTTTCGGTGGAAATCTGCACAACATTTGGTAATAATGGGGCATACTAAAACAAAGCATTAATAGCGGTATGAATAGCACACCGTGTACAAAGTGGTATGGTTTATTACCAGGCGGTAGACATTTTACTACATATTGTAGTACATCTGTCATACATCATGGTATTAATTTTATCCCAAAAAGTGTTCTTTATTACCACTTCGGATTCAATCAATTTCTTTACCGGCTGGTGGTTATTATTACCGTTTCTGCAGAGTCATATACGTGTGCATTTTGGTAATGATTTGGTAATGATTTTATTTAGAGTGCATCAGTGAATGAAGTTCATTCACAGTCACTCATTAGAAACGATTGAATCTTTCACTGGAAATTGGTCTTTGGGTAATTATTATTTGGGAAGAATAAAATAAAGTTAGTTAGATTGAATGTCGTAATTAAATGATAAAGCTTTGATTCTGCATTGTAAATCGGCAGTAGGTTTCCATACGGATATAATGCATACTAAAAATTGGTAATGAAATATCTCCATTTGGAGACAATTGATCACCATATATTATCGTTCGGTAAAGTTTTATCACCGATTGGTAATCTACGTTGTTTCCACGTTAAATGCAATTTACTATCGTACAGTGACAAAATATTACGACGCGGGAGATAATTTTTTTTATCTCCATAACGGAGATAAAAGATTTTGTCTCCCGGAAGATACGAATCGTCACCCGTTCTTAGAGCAGTATAGTACCTACACGCGGAGACGATTTTGGTGACGATTTTGTTTAGAGTGTAGTAATGCCATACTAAAAATCTATTCCTAGCCTTAATACACTTACTATAAACTATGTATATACTGGAAGAAGATGGTAAATCTTGTAATTAGAAATACAAGAATATTTTAAGCTCGTAGAAGTTTACTATTAGCTATGTATAAGAAGGTAAATTCTATGAAACAGCAATGCAATGTTATACACAGACCAATACATTAACTAATACTTACACATGTTAAAAAAGGACGCCACAGAGTTTCTGTTCTCTCTTTACACCCAATGTATGTTTTATTATTATTTTTTCCTCCAATTAAGAATATTCATGTCATTTTACAGAAAACCGTGATTTTTAATGTATTTATTTATTTAATACAAGGAGACTAATTAAACCAGGTAAATTTACTTTATATTTAAAAGAAAGGTAGAAGATGTCGATAAACTTTATGTGATACGGAATAAAAGCTTGACTTTTAATCGTGATTAATTGAAATAAATTCATTTCACTATCTATATTATATTTTAAGTAACTTAAAGGGTGTAAATTTAATCCGGTAACCCCCATTTTTCGGCCCCAGCTTGATACAAAGTCAGCTATAATTTTTGATCCCGTTAATGTTTTTCTTTGAAATTTTTACCATAAGTGGAATGAAGGTACATAAGTGCTAATCATAAGCACCATAATATTTGGACGCAGGTCCTATAAGCGGGAAATTCCAAGTGAAACCAAATTTCTCCAAAATTCGGAAGTGTCCGGAAAGCTTCGTGTACATTCATGGACGAAAATTTTTTCAAGGATGAAAAACAACCTGAACAACCTAGATGGATCACACCTACCAGGAAAACAAAGCAAATGCTAAAACTTCACTCGAGAACTTGGAGTTCTGGGCCCCATTTCACCACACCCTACTCTGCACTCCAGATTCTGCACTCCGCACTTTACAAAATTTGTAGAGTGCAGAGTGGGAGCGTTTCACACTGGCGAGCTACTCCGCGAACTCTTGCTCCACGAAAATGAAGGTTTGCGGAGTGAAAATGCGGAGTTCATTCACCAAAATTTCAAAAGTTGTTAATTTTCTTAATGTGGTTTCATCCTCTTCTTCTCACACGACTGACACCCTCATAAATTTATTGTTCTATACCCGTGATCATCCAATCAAGTGATAATATGGTCAGTTAATTTATTTGTAATTACAAAAAACATAGGATTATAGAAATATTTCAATTCATACATATTTCACTTTACAGTTGATATCAAATCATAAAGAGAAACACAAAAAATCTACAGTGCAGACTTGATATAACCCGAGTCAGGCCAAGAGTTATCACGCCGACTTTTTTGCATTAAATTTTATCTGAAAGGTGTACAAAAAAATTTAAGAATTTAAATTGATTTTTCAAATTAAAAAATTTAAATTGATTTTTCAAATTTAAATTCATATTCTTCCATGAGTAACAATTAGCAACCTATGTGACAAATTTCAGCTTGATACGACGATTTAAAAAAAATCGGTATAGGGTCCCTGCATGACTAAAATTTTACTTTATATTCTTTCATTAGGCACCATTGTCAATCTCTATACCAAATTTCAGCTTTCTACAATAATTTTGAAATTTTGGTGCATAATACCCCATCCACCCAGATGACCCCCACCAGTCAATCACTTGACCGATTTCGTCCATCTACGAACTTGACTCCTCATTTGCCCCTTTTCTACATTTGTGCAAAATTTCAAGTCGATCGGATTAGTTCTACGACAGTTCAGGCAGACGGACATGACGGGTACATAAGCCCTGACTCGGGCTAAAAAGCCAATTGCAGAGTGTCCGAGCACTTTGCAAAAAAATATGTAGAGTGCAGAGTTCCGAGCGATGACCTTTCGCGGAGTAAAATTTGGTGAAACGGGGAAGGTCAAATTTCACTCCGCACTCCCCAAAATTTGACTCCACAGTCTACACTCCGCACTTCACAAAATACCACTTTTGTGAAACGCTCCACTCCACAAATTCACAATTTTTTGTGTGGAGTATGGAGTGCGGAGTGCTGGTGAAATAGGGCCCTGGTCCAAATGGTGCCAGGGAGTGAACCGACGTAAACCGGATAAAATGGAAATCAAGTACAAAAAGTCCATTATTGTGAAAACTATCATTGCAGCTGCATTACCCGGTCACATAGGTTACAGTCCAACTAAAAAAAATCATGTACCCGTCTAAAATGTTGAATACCGTGTTGAATTTGCATAAACACCCTGAAAAACTGGGTATTTTACAACATAAAGAATTTCCTCGTCACATCCTGTGCACTGATTAATGTCAAATTATATTATACTCAACATTACACAGACAAAATGGAAGATACATATCAGCAAAAAACTTGGACCAATCGTAAATGAGGGTCCCGAAATCTTGGTGGTACCATGTGGTTTTGGCACATAGCATGAAACCTCTAAAAATTATATAAAAATGAAAAAATATGGATGAAACGGGGTATATCGTCAGGGTGTAACCTATTTGCTCTGATAGCTTATGGAACAAGGAATTATTGCCCATTGAGATACAAATAATTCTCATGGCTGACAAGGCTACAGAGCAAATCGAAGCATCAACTATGAGGTAATAGTATATAAAACAATTTTCACCTGTGCCTAGGAAATTTTAGTTGCATGATAAAAATTTGTTTGTGCATTTCCTGGACGACATGTTGCACGTATTGAAGGAAAAATTCTACAAGATCCAAATCCTGCAATAGAGAAAGATCTGACTACATAATTTTGAGACAAGTGAAATTTAAAACCAAAATCAATTTTGGAAAACTTGGCATTGAGCTTAAAGCAAAGATTTAAGAGCGTGAGTGAAGTGGATGGTGGAAAGACCAAATATTAAGGTATCTCTGGAAAAAATGTTGGCTTTGGTCACAACTGTAGTTTTGAAAAAAAAACATTTTCTTTTTGCCATGAAAAAGGTTACCGGATTAAATTTACACCCTTTACACTCTAAATAAAATCATTACCAAATCATTACCAAAATGCACACGTATATGACTCTGCAGAAACGGTAATAATAACCACCAGCCGGTAAAGAAATTGATTGAATCCGAAGTGGTAATAAAGAACACTTTTTGGGATAAAATTAATACCATGATGTATGACAGATGTACTACAATATGTAGTAAAATGTCTACCGCCTGGTAATAAAGCATACCACTTTGTACACGGTGTGCTATTCATACCGGTATTAATGCTTTTCATATGCATACCCCATTATTACCAAATGTTGTGCAGATTTCCACCGAAAAGAATAGATTTTTTGCTTTTGTTTACAATAAGCTTTCAATCAAAAATTATATTTATTGTAAAATAGTTTTGAAACATACATAATTATAAAATTTAAGTATAATGCAAACTATGGAATGACATACACACACATGTATACATATTTACACGAAGTTGCAATCTGCTCCGATTTCCAACTTAAATTTTTGTTTCACTGAAAAAATAAACGCATAATATTATTATTAACTATTTCCTATTATTATGATGGTGCTCGATCACCATCTTGATAAGGCACCTACATACATACATATGATAATTTGATACTTACCTGTTTCAACAATTCTATATAATTCCCAGAAGTTTTTATCAGTTTTTTCACTGATAAAAACTTCTGGACAGAATGGATTAATTTCGCCATGTTGACTTGAGTTGAGCTGAGCGGAAACTAAAACTGACAAATGCGCCACTGTTTAGCGTCTCACAATTATCACCAAATGTATTAAAATTCTTACCTCCATGGTAATAAACTACACCAAAATGTAGATCTCATTAGCACCAATTTGTACTGCGCTTTACAAAAATTATGGTAAAGAGTGTTATCTAAATTTGTAGGATATAATTACCGACTCGTAGGAATTTATTACCAAAATTATAAAGATAACTTAAAACATTGCGGTGGATGGCCAGTTACCCGGTTGGTATTGATACGGTAATAACCCCGTATAATTTTTGTAGGACGCGTAATTACCAACAGCTCGGTAAAGACGCTTATTAAGAATTCTTTACCAAGTTGCTAAGAGTGTAGATATCAATACAGGGTATCCGTAATTGAAATAATAAATAGGATTACACAGAAGTCATCAAAATTCCAGAACTGAATCACGTCCTAATAAATAAAGAAATTACGCAGGATCGACTATTTACATTTTTAGTCTTTCCTTTTTGGGGAAAGTGAGATTTGCGTTAAGTTATACATGGGAAAGAGGGGGTAGTGGTCTTGTGTGTTGCAGAGGAGGGGAAGGGGTTTGAGAAAAGTCGATTTTACAGAAAAAGTCGAGGTAATAAACTTATCCTACATAACTGCTTGAATAAGTTATGTATGTATCGTCGTAGATTTTGTCCGATTAATAATCAATATTCTGATAGGTAGAAAATGACAATTTAAATATGCATAGAGTCAAATACTTTAGCTGTTATTCGATACGAGCGAACTAAAATATGCATAAAGGTACTTCTCAAACTTACAGCATAGATATCCTGACATGTGTGCCACTCTTAAAAATAATGTTACGATTTTCAGAAGTAAATGCAGTCTGAATTTTTAATTAAGTTAACTGTACTAAATCCAGAGTAATATTACATAATTTGATAAACAGTAAGTTTTACGATGGATTTAGTAGAATTAATTCTATACAAAGTTCAGAGTGCACTTACACTGTTAGAAATCCGGTAGAGTCACGCAGGTATTTATTTCTCAGTAGTAAAGTTGCTAGTGCTTGGTATTAAAATTATACCGGTCCGTAAAAATATGATACCGAAATGGTAAAACGTTAATACGGAGTTATTACTACACAATATTAATTAATCAATACCACGATGGAACATAGAGTAATATATGAATATCGTCTGGTATTATTTAAACAGTGAATTTCTAAGAGTGTATGTAACCGTAATTGTAAGAGTGTATCATACCATATCACAAACTTGATGTCATATTTAATTCAACAGTTGGCATCTAAATAATTTTTTATGATAAGCGAAAATAGAAAGTATGGATTAATGCATCGCTTAGTGTTCCTGACGACTTATACATATATATACTTGGAATCTATTTATTTTGCAACGATTTTTTTCAAATTTCCGTCATGAAATCAAAAACAATATTGCATTCTTGTGCAAAAAAATTGGCAGATTGGCAAAGATTGATCTCCTCGATTTTGCAAACACTCACTCCTTTCAATGCCTTAAGACGGATCACAATTTTCTCCGCGTTCTTGTACCCACAGATTGTTACGTGGGATACGAAAACAAGGGCACTTATCCCGAATTCGGGGATTACTTTGATTCCATGGTTCCTTATTTCGGGTGTGGCCATTTCAGCAGCCCTGCCTACTTTTTGGATCGGGATACGCGAAATAATCAGCCACCAGAAAGATCCCGAGATTTCGGTGGCACACAGTTTAATAATTATTTTTCAATGCTGCTGTGAATTTATCGTTATCGGGATGATTTTTACGCGAGGGCTGCTATGGTTTGGGGAGTTTAATGAAATTGAGCAATCTTGACGAGCGGAAGGGTAAGATTATTTATCTAACAAGGGAACATACCGAGGTGTCCAACGAGTTAAGGGTCGACACCTATACCAAAATGACCACGACACATGACTTATTCAACAAACTGAAGGAATTTCCGTGTAAAATTCGCTTTTCGTCACGTTGTGACGATATTTGTGACGAGCGCATGACCATCGGGTTGCCAAAGAGGGAGAGGTCGGCCGCTGAACGATCAGATCGAACACATGTTGTCTTCAGAGATTTCAAATTTCAAATAACTTACACACCTCTAATTTTTTTCAAACTTTCATAATTGTTTCGAAATTTCAAAATGTCTTCAAAATTTCACAACTTTTTCAAAATTTCAAAAGTTTTTCGAAATTTCGAAATTTCTTGAAACTTTCAAAAACTTTTTCAAAATTTCAAAATATTTTGAAAGAAGATTTTCATATTTTGTTTATAAGCAAAATATGAAAATCTTCTTTCTTGGAGGACGCACTCTTAAAAATTTTGTTACCCTTTTAAACAAATATTTAAATGTGCTCTGAATTCTATATAAATCAAAAATGATCTTCAGTCTTTAAGCTTAATACTTTAAGCTTAATACTGATTTTTCACGTGAAAAAGTTTAACAAACGACAGCAACATCTGGTAAACCTGTTTGAAGAAACACACTTTCATTGATGATCAATCGTCTAAAGGGTGTTGATTTAAGGCGCCCCGATTTTTCCAAAATAGTTGCACTTGTGACTCAAAAACTGTGAAAACTTGGGTTCTTTTGAAGCTTTTGAAGATATTTTGATTTAATAAGACTTGTGTAGTTATTCGATGGATTATATTATAAAATTTCAAAGAAAAATGTTTAATGGTTTGAAAATTTTGCTTAAATATTATTTGAGATAAAAAGCTATAATCGGGACCATTTAAATCAACACCCTTTTAAATGGGGAAATCCATCAATCATTTTCATTTGAAGGTGAATAAAGAAATTCGTACTTATTCAGTATCATAATTAGTCTAATGAATGAAAGTGAACAGGTATGTAAATACGTGTGATTAAGAGCACGTACATATATTTTTAAAAGGGTAAAATTAGTTGAGAGTGCAATTACTTTGTTGTAAGACAAACAAATAACAAAAACAAAACCAAAAGCTCAACTAATTTTCAGTAAATTCGGACAAAACCTCCACCCTTGGCGTATTTCTGCACGGACTCATCCTCTGTTTCGCTACGTGCCCCCTGGTCGCAGGAATGATACCCCTTCTCGTCCATAACATCGATCCGACCTACTTCTGGTTCAGAAATGTAGCCTGGTTAAGCCCCAATTTGAAAATAGTGATCCGAATTACCATCATCTTTCTGTTGGCTCTCCACAGTTCAAATCTTACCCTGTGTGGCTCAGTCATGGGTTCGAATGTGGCCTTAATGTATTTGAAATGTCTCAAGCAGATGACAAATTTTGACAACGGAATTACGAAATTTCGCAAATTTTTCGCAATGTACAAACAGCTATACATTATCACAACCGTTTCGAACGACGTGGTCTATTTCGTACTACCGATCGGACTATTTTCCTCCTTGTTACTGGGCATCGTATTTCTCTACGTGGTAATCGTCCTGACGGGAAAAATATCGCTGGCCCTGACCTTCATAGCGGGGTCAATTAGCGCCGCAATAATTGGCATGGTGCATTTGGTTTTGCCGCTAGCAGCGGAAATTACAGAGGCGTCAGGAGATTTTAAGAGGGGATGGGAGGCAAAGCGGGAGCTTAGTGGGGGTGACCGGAAGGGATTGAAGGGTTTTAGACTCCTGCGCCTGTGGGTGGGGCCGTTTCAGTATGTCAGTAAAAGTTCTAGGGTGGATTTTATCTCGGCCTTGTTGTACTACACGGTTTCGCTGATTATTTCCGTGAAACCGTAAAGTTTGCAACATATTTACATGTGTACATCTTTCACACAAATTCGAATACAGATGCGACCGATTTCTTATAGTTCTTTTTATACCACTGGTTAAATAAACGTTACTTACTTTAATTCAGGCAATTTAAAACATTATTAAAAGTATGTTAAGAGTGTTACCTTAGGTTTAATTTTTACATGCACAGGTAACTTAAATACATGCATATGTACACTTGCATACATTGTGTGTGCATGTATGCATACATATGTTTAATATACTCGTGTGCGTAATAATTGACTTATTGCATCATAGCCTACAGCCTTTGCACATCATTAATTGTTACCTAATAACTATGGTGATGATGGTAAAATTGTAAAAATAAATAAAATTAATTATTGGTCGTAACATAATACAGTCAAAATTAGGGTTGCCCCGGGTAGTGGTACTACCCGGTACTCGGCCTAAAATTTTTGCCGGGTACCCGGCTACCTGGCCGGGTACCGGGTAATAGTTATATATTAAAAATAATGGGAATTTGTCTACTTTTTCTAGAATTTGCAACAATTTTATGTTTTAAAAATTACAAGTTAAATTTGTACAGTGCAAACTTCATATTTAACCTGCACACCAAATTTCAGATGAAAGTAATACTTTGTAAAAATTGGGTCGCCTTCTCTATGGTTACACTCACTTTGGTTACACTGCGCTATACGACCCCCATAGGTCAACTTGGTGACCAATGTAGCCAATCCTTGAAATTGTTTCCTATATCTTTGTCTAATATGCAAATGGTAAAAATTTCATCTTCTCAGACTAATGATTCGGGCTACAAAGTAGATATCACATAAATGAAATAATTATGTGGGACACACAAACAGCGTACTCACGACAATGCCTTATTTATCATCCAAATCATTTAGCAAAGTTACTTCTTGAGGGGATTCGAATCAGCTCAAAAAACAAATCTCGCGAGGCTTTCGAGGTAATATCCTCCGAATCGATTAACAAGATATGTAGCTATTCCAAATTCTCGCAAATCAACTAAAGACGTCTATTTTGATCTTTTTATCATGGGTGTTCACAATATCTCTCGCGGACGATCAGGAGGATGAGTCTGCGAAATAATTTTACAAAAAAACAATGGATTTGTCGCAAAAGCTTTGAGAAATCTTGCAAATTTCTAAAAAATTCGCAAGTTATGATTAATTTGCGAGACAGATGCAAGTTGACTGACGGACAATTCGTTGACTTTAGTGCGCCCAAAGTGATTTTAAAATGTGTATGATAATTTCGAAGTAACTATTGGCCAAAGTCGTACCCATTCTTTGCAAATATATTATTTTATAGCAAGTACAAAAATGAAATCCATCGGATTATGTATATTTTTTGTAAGGTTTGGCATTTTAAGTAAGAAAATTGAATATTTAAATTACCCGGCCGGGTTGACCGGGTACTTAAGTATACCCGGCCGGGTATCGGGTATCCCAAAACTGGCCGGGTATGCCCATGGATGACTGATGTAGCTTCGCTTATATAGATATGAACTTACATGTTATTTTTCTCGTCGGTACTAGTACCCGGCAACTCATATCGCATGAGGATTGTCTCCCCATAGAGTG